GGGGGGGGGGGTTGCTTGCTTTTTACTGAATCTCAGGGGAATAAGTTACAATCTTTAGAAGTCACTATTTTAAGAAAAAAATTTTATCTGATTCTAAAGGTCTGTTGCTTCCACAATTCCTGAAATATTGCCTCTTTAGGGCTCTGTCTCTGAGCGTAGTCCCCTTCCTGTTGTTCCCGCAGGTATTTTATTTATTTATTTTGAGAGAGAAAGCACGAGCGGGGGAGGGCTGGACAGAGAGGGAGAGAGAGAATCCCAAACAGGCTCCGCACTGTCAGCACAGAGCCTGCTCAGGATTCTCTTTCTCTCCCTCTCTCTCTGCCCCTCCCTTGTGTGCATGCACCCTGTCTCTCAAGATAAATAAATAAACATAGGAAAAAAAAAAAAAAAAAGGAAGGACACTGTCTGCCTCATGGTATCGCTCCAAGGGCTGAGTGAACGCGGCCGGGTGTGGGGTGGGTGCTGTGGAAGTGTTGGCTGTTACCACTCTAACGTCTGGTCTCTTGGAATCAGTTCGCGTGTCAGAACAAAGAGGCATTAGCAGAATGTTAAGCTTGTCCTGAGTATTTACCCTAGAAATTTATGTGTATGACTCTGTGGTCACTGTTGTGAGGAAACAACAAAGATAAAAAAGAACGCGAACACTAAATGAATTATTTGCTGGTGCCTAACAGGAAGGCCAGAAAGCCAGAAATCTAGATTGCATAGATAGAAGTTCCGTGTTGCTAAGCATCAGACAAAACTTCTGTAACACGGTATGAATCTAAAGGAATTCTAGCTGTTCTTCTTTTAGATCATGGTCAAACACCATTAGGTTCATTCTTAACATAGTTATTTCTGAAATAACTATTGTTACTGTTTTGGTCTTTCACTGGAAAGTCTTTAACCTTACCACCGTATTTTCTTTCACTTCTGAATTTTGTTTTCTTTTTTTCGTGGAAAAAGAGGATTTTAAACGTACGTAAATACCGATACTGACAATGTGAAGACTGCCTCAGCCCGTCCCCTGCATTTTACATGCGAGAGATTCAAGCCCTACAGAGACTAATTGATTTATAACTGGTCCCACCGATTCTGAATGACTCTGGGACCAAGATAGGATTTTTTTTCTGATTCTTTTCACCATGTTGCCTTTTGGAAATGAGGCTGGTGATTGCTCTGATCAGATAGTGATAATGGTTTATGTAGGACTTGATAATGACCTCAAGGAAGAAGAAGAAAATGGTGTCTAAGGGCAGGAGAATAAGAAAATACAAAGGGTAAGTGAGTCCAGTAGAGCAGGTCATTATTTCTCTGCAAACTGGAGAAATGGAGGGAGGCCAAAACAGGGTATTGGAAACCCACCCGATTTGAGTTCCTACACTTGCCATATAGTGGAAAATAAGGAATAAGTTGATTATATAATACCTATAACATAGAATAAGTTGATTATATAATACCTATAACATAAAAGTTACCATCTTAACCATTTTTAAATGTACTAGGTGAGCTTTAGGTCATAACATTTGTCTTCTCTGTTCCTCCCATTTTAAAATTTCCTTTGGTGGGGAGCGGGGGTGGCTCAGTCAGTTAAGCATCTGACTCTTGATCTCCACTCAGGTCTTAATCTCAGAGTCATGAATTCAAGCCCTGTGTTGGGCTGTGCACTGGGCGTGAGGCCTATTAAAAAAAAAAATTTTTTTTTTCCTTTTGTGTCAAGAAACCATTTGTTTAATTGACAAGATAAATACTGACGCCAAAGCCATACTGGCTCTTGCCCTGAAGTAAACAGTTCATTGTCAGCAGCCGCTCTTTTCGCCCACCAGGCACCTGTCTACCCGGATGATTCTATTTACCATACTAAAAAAGGATTACATGGTCAAAGTTGCTTGCATTCAACCCAGCCTTGCCAAGACTGAGGTCATCAAAAGCTGCCAAAGTGGGATTAATGCGTTGTTTTTGTTGTTTTCTTCAGTGATGTAAGCACTGTTTTCCCTCTGCTCTTCCAGGCTAATTAGCCTCACTCCCCACTTTACTACCCATAATTGGTGGCTCTTAGCTGTACAAGTATTGTTTTCTTCCGTGACTGTGGTGTCATAGGAGGCGACCATGGGCTTAGCCTGGTCACAGAGGCCTGTCGTGTGGCACTGAGCAAATCACTGAGTTCTGTGCCGTTGCCCCCGTTAACTACAGACCAGACCGTCTCAAATTTTCCTCCCATTCTATACCCTTGTGGTCCTTTAAGAAACATCATTGGGACGATCCAGCCTGTTTCATCAACGTGTTTTGGTTTCTAATATGACAGCAGAGAGGAGCCTTTAAAGAATTATTTTTGCTTATTTGTAAGCAAGCCAGACCCTATGACTGGAATGGCTTGTTTTCTTGCAAAATAGTTATCAATTCTTGGAAAAGTAATCAGCTTTTGCCTGCTGCCACCTGTGACTTGAAAATCCCACTGGGCACCTACCTACCAGCTCTCTCTCTCTCTCTTTCTCTCTCTCTCAGATGCCCACTGATTAAAACAAAGTGCTTTACTTGGGGACAGGGCTGGTTTTGTGGGCGTGTGACCCGTGCAGAGCTCTTGGAAGGGCTTCAGTTCAGTGTTCCACGGGTGCCATCTTGAAATTCATCATAATTCTTGAAGAAGAGGCTAATTTGTCAATAGTCTCTATGAGTCTTGTAGTCAGTCCTGCCTGGAGAATCCTTTCTAGAAAACACTATGTCCCTATTTGCATTTTTATTACTTAATCGGAAACTGTATCTATAAATCTATATCTGTTATATATATTTGTACTTGAGAATAAGATGAGAATTATATGGTACTTGAGAAGAAAGCGTGGTGACCAGATTTCTCTTCTTCAGGAATAGGTGATTATGTTGTTGTTCACACAGATCTTCTAAAGGGAAGGGGTGAGGACCTGAAACCGGACCCTTACCTCCGCAAGAGCCCCTCGCTCGAGTCTCTGAGCAGACCCCCTTCTCTGGGCTTCGGGAACACGAGGCTGCTGAGCGCTTCCACGGGGGGCTTGAAACCACAAAGCAAACTCAGGTATCGCATTTGAATCAGTGAGAAAGCACTGGGCTGATGCCCTTGTGTTCTTCTTTCCGTTTTATCCCCTCTGGTCAGTTTCCTTCTTACATATATTTCCTGAATGAAAAACGACCCAGACTCAGCACCTGCCTTCAGCAAGAGAGGAGGGCACTGCACAGCAGGACGGTGCGGAGTGAAATAAGAGCTGTAGAAAAAGAAGTATAAGCAGACTACGTGGGGAGTTGTTAGTTGGATGAGGAAGTTGGGAGTTAGGAGGCAGCGTTTCTGCCACAGGGGTCCTGCAGGCGTCACCTTGAGGCTCTGCTGGAAGTTCAGGGAACTGGCGGTGGTTTAGTTTGGTTAGACTGGACTGCGGGCCGCATGAGGGCAGGGGCCCTGGCACACACATCATCAACGTCAGGATTGGCCAGGAGGCAGATAGGTGGTTAGGGTATCACCACCAGAAAGGCAGGTTGGACTCACATTGTGAATGAGCTTCATTGCCAAGGCTAGAGGTCTGTACTCATTTCGGTAAAGCAGTGGGGAACCACTAGGTTCGTGGCCTCTTGTTTCTGTTGTTTCTTTTTTTTTTTTTTTTTTCAACGTTTATTTATTTTTGGGACAGAGAGAGACACAGAGCATGAGGCAGGAGGGGAGGGGCAGAGAGAGAGGGGCACACAGAGATCAGAAACAGGCTCCAGGCTCGAACCCATCAGCCCAGAAACCCGGCAGCGGAGGCTCGAACTCCTGAGACAGATAAATGACCTGGCTGAAGTCCGGACGGCTGCTCGGCCTATACCCAAGCATGTTTCTGTTGTTTCTGATTGCGAGTAGTGGTTCAGTAAACAGTGGCATGTCGGAAGGACTGGAGGGGCATTTTGAAGTCAATCAAACCCGAATTAGTAGTGATAGAAGTGGAAGCGGGGACAGAGACTGCGGGGGTGGTCACCAAAAACCTGTCTTTGCTCATACCTCTGCCACTTCCTCCCTGCTCTGTGCCCCTGCTCACCCAGGCCACGGCAAACCTCCCCGCCCTCTAGCCGCTCGCTGCTTCCCCACGTAGAGTCATCCTCTAGAACACCGAGCGCGTCCTGTGCAGACCTTGTCAGAAACCTCCCATGACTCGTCATGCACTCTTCCACCCTCGCTCCTTATTCTGGTTCTCTGCAGCTTAGTCTCACCCTGCTCACGTGCTAGCGTGTCCCTGCCCTCCGCTCCCTCAGAGCCTGTTTTATTCTCAGCCTTTGCCGCTAACACATGCATTGCTGACTGTTCGCGAGGCTCTGGCCTGAATTGTCTTCCTTCTGTCCCTTTCACACTCCCCTAAGTCCTTCTCCTTCAAAGCCAAACAAACTACCCTGGTAGCATCGATGCCCCCTTTCTCTGCCCTTGGTGTCTTAACCTCATTTGGGTATTTAATCCACTGTGGTGTGGTGTGTGTGCCTTTGTCCCCATTGAAGGCTGCACTATGTTTATTTTTTTAATGTTTATTTTTGAGAGAGAGAGAGAGACAGAGAGACAGAGTGTAAGCTGGGGAGGGACAGAGAGAGAGAGAGACAGAATCTGAAGCAGGCTCCAGGCTCTGAGCTGTCAGCACAGAGCCTGATGCGGGGCTCAAACTCACGAACCGTGAGATCATGACCTGAGCCGAAGTCGGACTCCCCACTGACTGAGCCACCCAGGTGCTCGTACGTTGCACTTTAGTAGATGGTGAATACCTCGTCTCACACTTTGATGTCTCTCCCAGCCCCCTGTGTTGTGTTACACACACAACATTTCATTCAGTCAGTGCTTATGAGTACATAGATAGATGAGTACACAAAACAGGGCACTTTAGTAGTAATGGCTTTTTAGCAAACATCATAACTACAGCATTATGTGTGTTACAATAGGATTTTATAAAAGTCTGAATAAGTTCAGCTCTTGTCATACCTTTGGGTGTGGCCTATATTTGCACCCAAATAGATGAAGTCATATCTTTTCAGAGGTTTAACTTAAAGCCCCAGATATTACACATTAGTCTTGTTTCTGCACAGGAGATTTAAATGATCAGAACTTTTTTTTTTTAGCTTTTTAAAATGTTTATTTATTTCTGAGAGAGAGAGCAAGCAGGGAAGGGGCAGAGAGAGAGGGAGACACAGAATCTGAAGCAGGCTCCAGGCTCCGAGCTGTCAGCACAGAGCCTAAAGCAGGCCTCAAACTCATAGACTCGGACACTCAACTGACTGAGCCACCCAGCCACCCCCCAAATCTTGTTTTTAAGGACCAGAATTAGTGCTACTCTGAAATGGCTCTTTTCTTTAGGCCACAAATGTGTACAGAAAAGGCTATGTGGGGCGCCTGGGTGGCGCAGTCGGTTAAGCGTCCGACTTCAGCCAAGTCACGATCTCGCGGTCCGTGAGTTCGAGCCCCGCGTCAGGCTCTGGGCTGATGGCTCAGAGCCTGGAGCCTGTTTCCGATTCTGTGTCTCCCTCTCTCTCTGCCCCTCCCCCGTTCATGCTCTGTCTCTCTCTGCCCCAAAAATAAATAAAAACGTTGAAAAAATAAATAAATAAAAAAAAAAGAAAAGGCTATGTGTGTGTGCTGTTGATGTGATACCCTTCATCGTGAAAGATTAAATTAGTGGAAATCACTGTGTTGTTTTATTTTTGTATTCACATCACCGAGGCGAATGACAGGATAGAAATTAATTTCTTTTGGAAGTTTTCATCCCATTGATATTAATTTGGAGCAGGCACCATATCTAGTTAACTTTATCTTTTCAAAGAAAATTGTCCAGTAGATGTTTTTAATTGTCCGCCTTTACAGAAACTCTTCTCCCAACCTTCATTTCAGTCTTTCCTCATTTGTCAGACCTAAAAATTCAGTTCTAAATGACAAAGTAAGACGTGGCTTTAGTAAACACAGGCCACGTCACTGTAACATCATAGACTCTTCGCGACTCTGACCACGGAAACTCACGGATATGAGTTTACAGATAATGCCAGGTACAAGAAAAACCAGGCATCAGATGGCACCAGCAAAATTTTAATGCAGGTTTATGAAGTTTTCTTACCACCTCTACCCTAATTCGGATTGCTGAGGTCTGGAATCATTACATTCCCCTTTAAAAATATTTTAAAGTATTTTCATTAAGTATCAGAATGATACAAAATAATAATAATAAGATACGTGTAAGGTATAAAGAACAACAGTGCACCTGGATATCAACCTTCCAGTATAAGGAAGAGAAAATTATTATTACCATTGAAATCTCCCGTCAGCCCCTCTGCGCTGGCCTCGCCTCCCTGCCCCGCCCCAAGATCACCACTGTCCTGACTGTTTTGTATGTCGTCCTCTGCTTCTCTTTCCAGTTTCACCATGTACGCTTGCACCCCCAAACAATATAAACAATACATTATTTAAATTCTCATTTAAACTTCTGTATAAATGGGAACATACAGTGCTTTTCTCTTTTTTTTTAAATTCAAAATTGTTCCTGCTGTGCATTCAAGTCATTGCGTACATCTCAGTTCGTTGGCTTTTATTGCTGTATAGTATTCCTTTGTATGACTGTACCTCTGTTCACTAATTTTCCTGATGATGTGCATCTGATTGTTTCCAATTATTTGCTAGTATAAAAAGTGCCAAGGGGCGCCTCGGTGGCTCAGCGGGTTAAGTGTCCAACTTCAGTTCAGGTTGTGATTTCACGGTTCGTGAGTTTCAAGCCCGCTGCTGAGCTCTTCACTGTTGGCACAGAGCCTACTTTGGATCCTCTGTTCCCCTCTCTTTCTGCCCCTCCCCCACTTGTTCTCTCTCTCTCAAAAATAAACATTTAAAAAATTTCTTTTAAAGTAACGTAGGCATCTATTAAAAATTGAGGGGTGCCTGGGTGGCACAGTTGGTTAGGTGGCTGACTTCAGTTCAGGTCATGATCTCATGGTCCGTGAGTTTGAGCCCCACGTCGGGCTCTGTGCTGACAGCTCAGACCCTGGAGCCTGCTTTGGATTCTGCATCTCCCTCTCTCTCTGTTCCTCCCCTGCTTGTGCTCTATCTCTCTCAAAAATAAATAAATGTTAAAAAATTTTTTTTTCTTTACAAAGTTAAAAAAAATAAAAATTGAGAAGAGGGTGCCTGAAGTCTTGCTCTCAGAGTGCTGTTATATTATTTAGTAAAATCACTTCCTTTGGCTAAACAGGTGCTCAGAAATGAGTTAGTATCTCACAAAGTGGGGAGTATCACTTTTGGAGTGTGCAAAGCCCCTCTTTTAAGTAGTTTTTACTGATTTTTCCCTTTTATCTCCATTCCTATCACCTCTCCATAAGCAGCCAATCTAGTGGTTTTAAATGGCCTTTCAGCCCACCTTTCATAGGTTACGTAGGTATAGGTGTAGCCTTGGAACACGTAGAATAGTTTTCTAGAGTCTTTAATTAAAATGATACTGTACTTAATAACTAAAGGGCTAGATGAATGGAACAACAGATGGATTTAAAAACAACCGAAAATGAAAATCAACCTGTTTCCAGACTTCTGACAGCCAAGCAGTACAATTTAATTCTTCCTTCATATCGTGAGACATAATAAAGACGTATCATTCGTATGACTGGCATGACATAATAAAGACGCATCTCACTGGAGAGACCTAGACTTTTGCTCTATAATCTAGTTATTTGTTTCTTGCCTACTTGAGGGTCCTAAAAATTAGCCTCTTCTCTTTACCACGTGCTCTTCTTTCTAACTAGTGTGGAGAGAAGAGACCCCCTGGCTGCCTTGGCCCGGGAATATGGCGGCTCCAAGCGCAACGCTCTCCTGAAATGGTGTCAGAAGAAGACAGAAGGCTATGCGGTAAGCGACCGTGTCGACCGGCTTCCACCCGGCTCTGGGCGGCAGGCCTTTGCCAGGGTGTGTTCTGGGCACGCATATGGCTTGGACGGGCCGGTGTGCGTAGAACTCGTGTCCTTCTCTTCTCTGGGGGAGGGGCCGCCAGGTAGTGGGGTTTGCTGTGGTGCCCAAAGAGGTGAGTGGGACTGAGAGCCAGTCTGTGCTCTACCCAACGAACCATGTACCTCAACCCACGTGTGCATCTCCTGTGGGAAGGGGCACCTTTCTCTTTGCTCAGAGGACATACAAACCCTGCAAGCAGTGCACCCAACAGGCTGCTTCAGTCCAGACAGACCGCGTTTGCTGCACCATCTTCCCAAAAGAGGCACCTTTTCCTGATTGATACAAACGCCCCGCTTAGAATGTCTTCAGCATTTCTCTGTTACTTGGAGAGTTGTTTGCATGTAGTTTCAAGTTGCAAACTTCAAGTTTCAAGTTTATCAGGATGGGATTTGTTTTCTGGGAAGGTTACACAAGGAAGTGACACCCGATCTAAAAGTGTAAGCTTTGTTAATTGTGAAATACCGTATATAAAGATAAAAATACCTCGAGTATAAGTGATAGTTTCATGGATGATTATGAGGTGAAAACCCACGCAGTCACCACTCACATCCAGAAATGGAGCATTGCCGGTTCCCCAAAATCTTTCTTATGACTTTCTAATCGTAGCCCCTCACCACTCCCAAAGATAACTCTTGTCCTCAGTTTTATTCCTCATAGCTTTCAACAAAAAGCAGGCATCCCTAAATGCTAGAGTAGTTTTGCCTGCACTTGAACTATACATAAACTCAGTCAAAAACTACGATACCTGCATCTGGCTTTTCTCATACAGTATTAAGTTACTAAGGCTTACCCCAGCTGTAGTTCATCATTCTCTTTACCCTTTGGAACCTTTTGTGTGATCGTACCGTTATTTACTTATCCGTTGTATCATTGCCGGACCGATGAGTTATTTCCAGTTCGGGGCTATTGCAATAGTGTGGGTGTGTTCTTGTGTGTGTCTCTCGGAACGCACGTGCACTCGTTCTTTCTGGGCCTACGCCCAGAAATGGGATTATTGGGCCATCGGGGATGCATATATCCAAGCACAGTTGAGAGTGCCAAACAGGTTTCTAAAGCAGTTGTGCTGTTTACCTCCCGCCAGCAAATGATGAGAGACCCGTTTTTCTGCGTTGTCCCAGTCTTCGGATCAGTGTGTACTAGTGTCTGATTGTGGTTGGGATTTGCACTTCCCTGCCGGCCAGTGAGGCTGAGAACTTTTCCGTATGCTGACTGGACATTTGGGTAGTCCATTTGGGGATGTGCCCTTCGGGTGTCTCGCCCATTTTTAAATCAGACGGCCTTTCTTTCCCTTGTTACTTTCAGGAGCTCTTTATATGTTCTGGATACCCGTCCTTTGTCAGATAGACGTATTGCAAATATCTCCTCCCCGGGTGGCTTGAATTTTCACCTTTTTGTTGAACAAAGTTTTTAATTTTAATTAAGTCTAGTGTGTCAGTCTTTTCCCAGTGGTCAGTGCTTTTTGCATCTTGTTGCAGAAATCTTTATTCCAAGGACATGAAAATATTCTCCAGTGTTTTCTTGTACATATCGGATTGTGTTACCTTTCCCATTAAATAGCCATCCTCTTTAAAATTGTCATCTCCAGGGTGCCTGGGTGCCTCAGTCGGTAGAGCTTGTGACTCTTGATCATGGGATCATGAGTTTGAGCCCCACGTTGGGTGCAGAGATGATGTAAATAATTTTTTAAAATAAAAATAAAATAGCCTTCTCCCCACTCAGGCCCCACCTTCGTATACCTTTACCCCACTTTGCTAAAAATTTTGAAGATGTTAGCACCACAACACTCCCTCCCCCATCTTAAGCTTTGAGGGTAGCGGGGATAAATAAAGAAAGAAACAAGCAAGAAAACAAGGCCTTGGCCAAGAGCCAGCCCAGATGGTTAAGCAGCAGCAGGGTTGGGATTGTCTTTCTAATAGCAACAACCACGGGTCTTCAAATCAGACTCCACCCAAGGACGTAAGCGTTTTGTGTCTTTGGCGTTACCTTTTTTCCCCCATTTTCCGCCAAAAAAGCAAGAGCAAAAGATTAGTCCAATTAATGACCAGTAATGGAGACTCCCAGGGGAAAAGCTGGCTTCCCATGCATCGTTTCGTCTTTCAGCTGCTCTCTGCACACTCTGCGTCGGCCCCTTCCAGGGCTTGAAACCACCCCATAAAGGAAAGCCACCCCAATGACAGCACCCCTCGGCATGTCAGCCACACTGCCAGGGAAATGGAAGAGCATGAGGAGTAGGGGAGAGAAAGTGATCCCAGGAGGCTTTAGGGTAGGGGGAGTAGGGATGGTAACAGAAGACCGAAGCTGACAAAAGCCAGGAACAGAGTCCTGGCCGTGGCCGAGCCGCACGCGGCCACTGACGCTTGATAGCACTGTCATGTCCCCACCTCACAGAAATGGATGGAGGGAAATGCTAGATGGATACAAAAAGACAATTCAGATTTCCAGAAGGAATTGGTCCTTGGGCACCTAATGCCGTTATAATTAGGTTGCAGGGAGGGATTATACAATAAGACCTTTCCCATCATAAGAATGAGAATAGTATTTCCTGCTGTGGTGATTTTTTGTTTTGTCTTGTGTACATCTTGAACTAGTTTTCAAAGCATTTTACGCTTGATGAAGCCCAAAGGTCATTCTGCCTGAAGAGTAATTTTCATTCATTGTTAAATCTCCATAAGTTTAGAGGGAAACATAAATCATATGTGTCTGATTTATTTACTCCTCACAAAATATCCTTTGTCTAGACCTGTTTGTCTGAGACGCCTCTTAAGCCTTCTAAAGCTTGTCTTCTCCGACTCAGGAAGCCAAAAATAAACTGTAGAAAATTCAGATGGCTCAGTTTAAAAAAACAAAAACGAAAAAACAGTAGCCATGTGCATTTCAACTTAAAAGAACTTCCTGTTTAGCCCACCGAAGTATAGCACGGATAGATTATGTCCAAACTCTGCATATATTAATTCAATGAATCTTCATTGAGGGGCCCTGTTTGGGGCCCCGTAATATTTTAGGTGCTGGGAAATCAGCAGGGAATGAAACAGAATCTCTGCCCTCATGGAGCTTCCACCCACATGAGGAGTGACAATTAAAATTTAAGAAGTATAATACCTGAGGGGCACCTGGGTGGCTCCAGTCGGTTGGGCATGCTCATCTCCTGGCCTGGCCGCGATATCTCGCAGTCAGTGAGTTCAAGCCCTGCATCAGGGTCTGTGCTCACGGCTCAGAGCCTGTAGCCTGCATCAGATTCTGTGTCTCCCTCTCTTCTCTGCCTGTCCCCCACTTGTGCTCTGCTTCTCTTTCTCTCTCTCTTTCTCCCTCTCTCTCAAAACTGAATAAATGTTAAAAAAAAAAAACCTTAAAAAAAAGTACAGTGGGGCGCTCCAGGCAGGCAGTCGTGAGCATGTCCGGACTTCAGCCAGGTCACGATCTCGGCAGAACTGTGTGAGTTCGAGTTCTCGCGTCAGGCTCTGGGCTGATGGCTCAGAGCCTGAGCTTGTTTCCATCTGTGTCTCCCTCTCTGCCCTCCCCTGTTCATGTGCTCTGGTTCTCTCCTCCCAAAAATAAATAAACATTAAAAAAAAAAAAGTACAGTACCTGCTATATTGGAAGGTGTTATGTACTGTGGAGAAAATTCGGGGCAGGGGAATTGGGATCACTGGGTGTGTGGACACCAGTGACATATGAAGGTCGGGGAGGTGACATTTGAGCAGTGGCTCACCTCGCCTGAGGAAGGCAAGGACTTGCGTGTTTTCATCAGGGTTTATCTCATCCCAGGTAGTAGGCTTGGAAGGTCAGAATGAGGACATCATCGCTATAACGACTGTGTCCATTGGAACTTAAGTAACATGGCGTGACAGCAGTGAAAAGTTAGAACAGCAGCTCAGACCTGTGGCCGAGCCCCCAGGTTCAGCTTTCGGATGTCTTGAGTAGCCCCAGGACTGAGGTCAAGTGGAAAAACACAAGCATGCACTCTGTCCAAAGTGAGGCCCACCCCGAGCTTTAAGTGGCTCTCAGCAAAGAGGAGACCTTTCTAGATGATCTACTCAACCCAGATTTCCTTGGAATTGTTTGTTTAAAGTCAGGCTTCCAGGAAGCCCCTGCAAATCGCTCTCCAACCCCAGCCAAGGATAGACCTGACACATAGAACCCTACGTCTCTTTTTTAAAATCTGCTTTCAATTCTCTCATTTGGGTTATGACAGGGAAATTTTCATCTCTCATGTAATTACCAGAAGGGATTCCGAAGGGGCCAGAACACAAGATGGTGGGTGTGATAGGCAGAATTCTAAGAATGACCCCCAGGGATCCTCACCCTTAAATAATCTCCTGTGTACATAGGGCAAAAGGGGGGTTATCTGGTACACCTAACACATGAACCCTTTAAAATCCAGGAGTTTCTTCTGAAGCATCACAAGGACTCAGTGCACAGTCAGTGGGTCTGAAGTGGAAGGGGGCACATCCGGAGCTGAGAGAGGTCCCTGACTGATGGCAGTGTGGAGACCGGGACTTTCTAGCACTAAAGCGTTGGAGCGCTGAGGTCCTACCGATACCCAGAAAACACCATGGGGGCCACCTTGCAGTTGTGAAATCAACCAGTTTGTGCTGGAGTGTCCTTTGTCATTTCTCTCCCTGTCCTGAAGCCCTCAGACCTCAGCTCGGCTAAGGATGGTCACTGCCATCCTTTAGTTGAAGGACCTGGCCACTCTGAAAAATGTATGGAATTCAGCCATAAATCTGCAAAGTCCTCGTTCCTCCCAAGAAGAGTGACTAGGCACAGCCACCCCATACCTCTGAAGGTGGCACCGTGGGTGTGTTCCCAGAGCCCTGCCATACCCGGCCAGTGTGGCCAACACTGGTGATTTATTTGGCTGAAGGCACAGGTAGGGATTACCCATAGCTTCCCTACCTCTC